ATATTGGAATGTAACTTAAGTTATCATTTTGGTAAATCATATGTGGCTATGTGCTGAATGCTCTGTATTGTAATTCACTTTAGCTTCAGGAAGACACCGGGAGGTCTGGAGAGCTCATATGCAGATGCCAGGAGGAAGCAGGTTTTGAGGATGCTAATGTCTCACTGTCCTTTTGTTGTGTTGGTTTCTTCCTTTTCCATCTGCATACGAAGGTGTGTCTTGTTCTACCAAAAGGGGCTTGCGGACTGTGAATCTTCAGACTTGTCCTGAGAGAGGCTGGGGTCTGTGCCTTGCCTCTGTCAAGACATTCTCCTTGTACAATGTAACAAGTAAAAGATTAACTTTGTTGTGTGAGATTTCATCAGGTTCAACTGTAGTTGAAACAGCATTATCAAAATCCACATACAAACGGTGTTTTTAATATTGCCAACAGAAGGAAGATGGACGACATAGTGGCTGTTGTTCTCGCTCTCACCTCTCACCAAGAAGATCAATAAAATGATTGGTAAACACAATCTCACCTTCCCTTAGTGACCTTAGTTTTTCTTATCAACAATTTGCAGCAGAGGTGAAGTTATCTACAGCAAGAGTAGTTTTGGTCAATTCCAACTAGAATGAACACATCATGCGCATATTTCAACATCTCTGAAGCTTTTTAACTCTGTGGGTCTGACCTCTCCAGAGCAAGGTCCGAGTCTGACGAGCCTGAAAACTCCTGTTCATTCTTGTCAAGCAAAGACATTGACAATGGGGTCAGCAACACAAGAGGATAAGCACACGTACATATTGACCTCGTGCATGTGACGTCCCGGCCACTCTCCATGACAGACGGCGGAAGTCTCTGTTTACTCAACTGCGAATGTGGAAATTATTTATTCAATAACATTTTTGATTTTTGATTTTAAGAATCTCCAAAATGTTCTATAAATGTTCTGATTTCTCTTAAGCTCATTTCTCAGATGAAATACATGTTGTACTTTGCCACGCTGGCATTTAAATAGCCAAGGAACGCTTGCAATAACTAAAACATCAGAGCCATTAGTCCATTAGAGTGGGATGACCAATGTACATAAATGTTAAAAAAATATCCATACATGGCCTGGATCATAGCTGACCCTAGACCCTCCTCTCTCTCTCTCTCTCTCTCTCTCTCTCTCTCTCTCTCTCGGAGTAATGTCACAATTACGGCACGGTGGCTGAGTGGATAGGTCCTGGGTTCCTGAGTGGATTTTGCATGGTCTCCCTGTGTCTGCGTAGGTGTCCTCCAGGTGCTCCGGTGACTTTGGGTGACCTTGGTCTGTAAAATGTGCTATATAGATAAACATTACTTACTTACTTACAATGCAAATATTGATTCAGAAACAGGCTCTGGATACAGCAGACAATATTCTGTCAATGAAAACTCACATTTAGTTTCCTTGATTTAGAATGATAGATTGAGAAACGGTATTATACTTTGTCAATTTTCCCATGTAAGCATGATTAAAAACAGATTCTTCCGGTTTCGACAGATTCTTCCGTCTTCCTCAGAATTGTCTCGCAATGTCACACATGACACTGACAGTAGCAATTATTGTGCGTTCAGTCCATAGACTGTATATATTAATGGACAGAGTCACGCCTATCTCCGCCGTTCATAGGAGTTGGCCATGAAAAGTGCTTTCATGGAGCAATCCAAGATGGCCGCGAGTGGTCCCGCCCACAGGAAAATTGTGAAAAAACGCATCTGCGCATGCGTCAGCTGGCGCAGCTCCATTCATTTGAACGAGAGACTTCAAAAATTCACAGCAAGTAAACTAGAGTGGACCAAAAAAATCCACCCCCCTCAGCATTGACACACATGTGGAACGGAGCTTTGGGCCAAGAGCCAACTTTTGGACCATCCTGTAAAGACGTTTTTGAGAGGTCTGCCAACGCTATATGTTAGCATTGGCTAATTCTTCTTCTGGGTCCACCCCCAACGGCCCGGGGTGGTATTGCAGCATGTCAGCGCACGTCATTTTGGCCACTTTTGAGCTGGGACCCTCCCCCACTGGTTCAGTCCCTACAGTCACCGCCCTCATTCACTCACACACCTGACCCATACTCATATCCATCCATCCATCCATTTTCTTCCCCTTAATCCATTTCTGGGTCAGGGGGGTGGCAGTCAGAGCTGCACCCAGTACACAGAACACCAGCCCCTCACTGATCCTCCTGCAGGTGGTGAGTCCACAGGAGCTGAGATCTTTCAGTGGGAGCTTCAGGCAAAGTAGGGTTAAGTGTCTTGCCCAAGGACACAACAACAGCAGTCATCAGTGGGAGTCGTGAAGTAGGTCTTATGGTGGGCTTGAACCCACAACCTTCAGGCCCAAAGGCCAATGCTCTACCAACTGAGCTACTGTCGCCCACAAAAAAAAAAAAAATATGAGGAACGCTTCACAAATTTGCGTGTCATCCTTGCGCAGGGGCCATGCTAATCTTCTCTGTATCCCCATACTCATAATGTGGCTAAAATGTCCTGCCCAGTGTGGCACTTTATGGGTACCTCACTGTGGACCTAGTTTTTATCTAAGAACATATTTAGATTTTGATAGTTTTTTAATTCCTTGCCAATTTACGAGGGTCTAAGGACAGCGATCATTCAGGACATTTATGGATATTTATGGATAATTATTTAACATTTACGTACATTGGTCATCCCGCTCCGTATGGACCAATGGACCTCTGATGTTTTTGTTTTTGCATAGCCCTAAATCATTGATTGTGATTTACAAAAATGATGAGAATTACTTTTCCTTGCATATGTTTTTTCAACAAGCTATGTAATTTATTTCTGAGTTTTATGTTTTTATTATTTAGACAATTCTTTATCCGTTCGATTTTTCATATATACAGTATGTATATCATTTGTAATGGTCAGAGAGCCACACATTGTGAACAGAAGCATGGATCTTTCAACAATCAATTTTAACTGCAGAAATGTTGTATTCAAGTTGAAATACAGTTTCAGGACATTGTCAAGAAGAGCCTGGATCACAGAAAAGCAGTTAGTTTAAAGCCTTTTGGTGAGCTGCATCTTTATAAATACAGCTGACCTTATGAAGCTCACATATCTCTCTCAACAGGGAACTTTTCCAGCAGCGATTCTGAACCGCCACGCTTTTCACTTTCCCCGACACAGAGGGAAAAAATAGCCCTGAAATAAAAACTCGAATCCTTTCAGAACCCGTCCTCTCTGAAATGTCTTACATGTATTTACAAAAAAGTGGATCCCTAGCCACAATGCTGCGATATGCGATGTGAAGGCGCCTGATTGGTTACCAGAGGGGGTTCTGCTTTTCACAACCAACGCCATCTGTCGCCGCGTTCGCACACTCCCCACTCACAAAACAAGTGCCAAGCCTGAAGCACACCCAACGCACAGGCACAATGTATGCTATGGGCCGGGCTGGTCTTAAATATCGCACTATTTATGATTCAAGAACAATGGGATTCTTGTTGGGCTAAAGATTAAAAGATTCTTTATTAATGGGAAAGTGCCAGTGTTACATCAACGGTTCCAGGACAGTAAGAATGAGGAGATTCACTTAGCTGCGTTTTGTATTAAATTACAAACTATTTTACTGTCTGAGAATGCAGATGTGCAGAATGTGGCTCTTTGCTCTGACTTCAAAACTATCATTAAATAAGAAAATGTCAGGCATACATTTTTAACTGATACTGGAAAATTAGTGAGGGGAATAGCAACAGTAAGCAACTTGAATCCCATAAATTCATTCTACATGAACAACTTCCAGTTCGTAAAATCAAGAACACTATGTACAGCATGAGTGGTTAATAATGCAAATGTTATTGATCTTACAATTTTGTGCAAGTGAAATTGGGATCAGACAAAAATGTCACCAACATTTCACCTTCGAAGAGCTGTGGTGTTTACACATAATGTTTGTTATGGTGAAGGAGGAACACAAGCAGAGCTCTGACCCACAGGACACGGCCTCATGTGAAGCAGACGGAACAAGCAACAACAGCACCACACAACAGATTATAAAGTAGGAAGATATGAAACGTGCCAGCCCCAAGCCGGAAGAAAAGGTAAGTATCATCAAAGTTACCCCTTGCCAAACACTAATTTAGATATTGACATTTAAAGCTGCAGTACCAAACATTTTTATTCATAAATTAAATCGTACATGTTGTTTGTCTCAACAGAAGGAGTCTTGCACATCCGACCACAAACACAACCTTCTGCCACAATCCTATTAGAAAAACACTTTATTTTTGCAAACTTTTCAGAAAGAGCGTTACTATTTCACGCTTTGGGCAGAGAGCTGACTGAGGGTGGTCCTCTATTTTCACTTTTCTGTCTGAAAAAGCTGATCTAAACATGTGACCATAAATCCATACATCCAAAATGTTTTGAGACAGTTTCAAAACAGTCAAACAAAATAATTCTTGCTGGCCTAGAGACATGCTCTGACAAGTTTTGTTGAAAAAATACAGAGACTTCAAATTCAGTATGAAAAAAACCATAGTTATTAATACTCATGGTAAGTACTCAGACATTGATGAAACTAGTGCATCTTGCCAGGGCGTATTTTCATTTATTTCTTTTCAAAGTCAAAAATTACAAATGTTTAGTATTGGGAAATATTGTATTGTATCGTAACCCATGTATTGTGACAGACACGTACAAGGCAATGCACACCCCCTGCTGGTAATTAAAATTGTGAACTGGTTTAGCTGCTGATCTACAGTTTTGACAGAGGCCAAATATTCATGCATGTAAACGCGTGATAGGACCAAATTGTTTTGATACAGATAGTTTTGTAAGTTACAGCTTTATATTGGCTTGTGGCGATGGCCTTTTTGTGCATGTTTGTTGCTGAGGAATAAAGAAATACTGCCAACCTAATGAGCTTAAAAAGATAAATCCTCATCCTAAATAATATATGCACACACAGCTACTCAGTGTCCTAATTATACTGTATAAAAATATTGAATTATTCATTACTCACCGATCTCGCTGCCCAGCCCCGAGCGCAGGATGGACCCAGCTGAGGTGACCACAGCACAGGTCTTAAACGCGCTCAGGCCTCCGCGTCTGTAGAGCTGCTCCAGAGGGAGGGAGGGTACCAGGCGCTCCCATCCCAGAGATCTGAACGGCTCCTCGGACCCGTCCACGGTGGCGAGTCTGGCCTGGGTCTTGATCTGACACAGCAAGTCTTTGGCACTCACGGCTGGTTTACGCTGATCCATATAAACTACGTGATGCTTGTTGGCGCTCACATAGTCCTTCATGGCCCGCTGCAGACGAGGACTCAACATCCCAGAAGACACCTTGCCCCTCCACAGACGCTGCACCACGGAGAAAGACTTGGAGAAGTACTGCTCCTCCATCTCTCTGGAGTCTTCGCCAGCCCTTCGGTGCGCCACGTTGCCCAGCCTGTTGTCGAGTTCTCCCTCCTCCATTTCTTCTTCTTCTTCTTCTTCTCGGAGGTTGCTGACATTGTTTTGATAGTCCGTGATTTGTTGAGAGGTCCTGTCGCGACTGCGCACCTGAGGGTCATCGACGTTCTCTGTGCCGAAAGAGGACCAAGCAGCCAGACTCTGCGGATCCAGATAGTCCTGTTGTTGCCCGGCCTCTTGCGACGCATAGGGGGCGCTGTTGGGACTGTGTGTTCTCTCCAGGCTGGATTCAGGAGCGGGCGAGCTGTGGCCTGGTCTGGACTCGTTTCCCTGATACGGAGGCGTGGCGGTGACGTGCTCGCGCCTGGACCCCGTGATGGCGGCCTGTATGGAGGCCAGGCGGCGGATGTCGGGGTGTTGGGACAGCAAAGATCCAGCAGAGGTCAGCGGTAACTCTCCCACCCGAGTGTCCAGGAAGTATGACAGCAAGCCCAGGAAGAGGAGCACCCACGCCAACATAGCCGCCAACACCATACGCCGCCACTGCCTCATGCTGGACATCATCACACGCACATGCACAGGCCCCAAACCCCAGTGTCCCGGGCCACAACCCTCAGGTCAGTCCTGGGCCTGGAGCAGAGAGAGAACAAAGCTCAGAATGAGGCTCCGCAAATAAACACAGCTCCAAGTGACAGCTAAACAAACATCTTACCAAACCAAGAGTCTTATTCCTTCATGTCCGTCTGGCCCAGGATTTAACAGCACCCTGAGGACACAGAAATGCAGCAAATTAGTAGAGTGAGAGACATGTGAGGCTGTAAACACCTCCTGAAGAGAAGTACCAGTCTGTTTTCAATTTGACATTTTTACATGCAATTTTACAGAGCAAAGGTATTTACAATGGAAACCCGAATTGATGGCGTTTCCCATATTCTGACATTTACAACGCAACAACAGAGGCGGCTTTAACTATGAAGAGATAAATCAGTCAGGCGTAGAACCAATCCTAAATTATTGAACAAACACACTTATTCTAAGCTTCAAAAAAGACAGGCCCTGACTGATGCTGCTGCGCTCTGTGGATGTGTGCGAGTGTGGCACAGCGGCAGAAGTGCTACAATGATCTGAACTCAAAACACATCTGCACAAACATCTTTATTTATTCAAGTCATCATTGAAAACTTGCCTTGTTAAAAGCACTGTATAATCAACACCATCTTTGGGAGTTTTAGAGAGCGCTAGGGCTGTTATTAATGATTTGTTAGACGATTATTTCAAAAATCCTACACCTTTTGGAATAGTTTGACATTGGACCAAAACAAAGCGAAGTGAAGCCCCCCGGAGAATATCTTCAGAGAGATAAATTGTGACACATTGGCGTGTTGGACTAATAATGCTTTGTAACATGTATGCCAATATGATACGTATTTCAGTACAGGGGACTTTCAATGCTATACGATATAATTATGAATATATGCAGAAATAAATCATGCTCTGGATTCCTCTACCACTAAAAACACGTACAAAAGGTAAAATCTTCCAGCTTTGTCCTGATTAAGCTGAGCATCCACATCTGGAGGTGGGTCCCTGGAAGCTGCACTGTAGTGACCACTGCTCCTGACAGGGGCCTGAGTGGAATTGCAGGATGGGTCAAATGCAGAGAACAAATTGCCCTACGGGGATCAATAAAGTGTATCTTAACCTTAATTAACAGAACACAGTAGACTTGCTTCTGTCCCATTGCTCTATAATGGATTTGGTCATATTTACACCAAATTATATCTCCAACTACATCCCAAGACAACGGCTGTACAAATGTACCAAACATACATTTCCATTTCTGAACAATATGTTTGAACTTATTCTTACATAAATGGATACTAATGTAAATCATATTTATATTTTACACCAAATTATCCAGAGAGTAGAATGAAGCTTTCATTTGGGTTTCCAGTTTGTTAGGTGAGAGTTAGCTGGTTTTGGCTTCTCCATCGTCAATAGTTTAAATGAAAGCAGGTACAAAAATAAGTAGTCAAACCTATGTCTAGCTAAACCCCAGCAGGTGGTTTGCATCAGTACACAGTGCTTAGGAGCTACATGTGTCACAGGCAGAATATTCTGGCAACAAAAGTGAAATTGTAATTGTAATTGTAATGACCTTAATAGACCACTCAGAGTGCATATTACATACTGTCCCTTTAAGGTGAACACACGGGACTCAGGGGGCTTGAGTTTCAACCACAGGTAATTATGAGTCCTCTCTCAATCTGGGAGCGTTTCACCAGAGAACAGCACAAAGGGGGGAAGGTCTCTGCTCTTGTCCTAATTACAGTTTCCTGTCTGTGGGTGCCCGGGAGCAGCAGAGGTGGGCTCAGAAGTGAGAACTCTCATTTGAGACCCAGACCACAGGAAGAGCCATTAACCCAGGAAACACCACGGGGAAGAGCAGGCCAGAGGGACGCTTGAATGCAACGACTCAAACCACTGGGCTGGTATAATAATGTGTAAAATGTAATGAATGTGTAAATGCTCGGAGATGGCTGTGAATGAAAAGCTACCGTCGCATTTACGCTCACAGTGCCGGGCTGCAGTTATCCTTTGATAGATGCAAAAGGAGCCGTAACATATTAGGAGCAAGATAGTAGATGTAGCAGCTCTGAACAAAATCAAGCCGAATTTCTTTTTTGAGAGACCATTAAGGAGCAGGTTTGCAGTTTTCCAATCCAGATTCAGTTTCCACATGTTGGCCCTCATCTATCAATATGAAAGACGACATGCCGCACTTCTGCCTGCTCCTCATAACCGATGATACCCACGGCTCATTTTTATATATTTAGAGACTTGTTCTTAGGGCGACAGTAGCTCAGTTGGTAGAGCATTGGCCTTAAGGCCAGAAGGTCGTGGGTTCAATTCCCACCTCTGCACCTTCTCCATCGACTCCCACTGATGACTGCTGTCGTTGTGTCCTTGGGCAAGACACTTAACCCCACTTTGCCTGAAGCCCCCACTGAAAGATCAAGGCTATGCTCACACTCAGAGAGCAGCCGTCCTCCTGTGGACTCACCACCTGCAGAGGGTCAGTGAGGGGCTGGTGCTATGAGACATGGATTAAAGGGTAGAAAATGGATGGATGGATGGAGACTTGTTCTGTCTTGCTTTATTTCTCTGTGCTCGACCCCTTTAAGCAACATAAGCAGAAACGTGGTCACATTAAAGGCCCCTCAGGCTTTGCTCAGACCACGTTAGCTAACCCATAATGCTTTTGGGTTTAGAAGGGGGAATCACCTATAGAAGTTGTATGTTGTAAATCTACTGTAAGTATTGTAGAGGTGTGTAAGGCTGAGAAACAAATCGAACAGTGAGTTTAAAAGCACCAGCCTCAGTGACGTCAATACGGTAAAACAATAGAAATAAAAAGAAAAGATACAGGATTGAGAGTTTTCCCCCAAATGGCTTTTCAAAATCAAGAAATAAGGTACAGACCTGTTTAGCTTTGGTTTTGTTGAATTTACACTTGCACTTGCGGAAGCTGCTTTGAACTTTGGCAAACTGGAAATAGCTTTGAGCCGCAAACCCAGTCGCACCCAGTACACTGCACCCAGTACACTGACTGCCACCCCCCGACCCAGAAATGGATTAAGGGGAAGAAAATGGATGGATGGATGGATGGAACTAGCTTTGAGCCGTAACAGGGGCACACGTGTTGCTAAGATAGTTTCCCCCACACATGAGGACATTGGGTCGGCCCACCCATATGACTCATATCTGAATTTACAAAGATCGTTTTGAAACAAAAACACATCAGAGCACCAAAGCATGTTTGTGTTTTAAGCCCAAAATGGTGAGTGTGACAAAAACAATTACTGCGAAGGTGGATTTAACTTCAGTATGAGTCAAAAGGAACCAGAGCTTGTTGGCACTTCTCTATTGGGCTTCATAGAGTCAGCAGTTTAACAATGTCCATCTGTATACTGTCTTCGGTTTAACTACTTTCCAGCAGCAAATCTTGCTGTTGGAGGTTTTGTCAATACATGTACTATATATAGCACATGTATTCTTTGTTAAAAAACAAAATATGCATTATTTTAGAAAATAAATGGAATAAGCTTAAGTTACTAAAGTCAATGACAACTTTAATCTTCGATATGGAATAATGTAATGCATGTTCTTTTAACACCTGTTCTTGTGAACACACATTCTCATACACTCACTAAAACACCCATTTTAGAATTGCACAACTGAAGTCGCCCCTCGGCAAAGCTCAGCCACCACCAGAGACCTATATAATGTGTACGTTTGCTTCTTCACCTGGCAGCCATCAGGATGTGTGCTCCAGTTCATGCAACAACAAACGTGTGGACAGATGGAGAGGGGGTGGAGGACAGTCTCAGACTGGTGCAGAATATTTGTTCCCACAAGAGTCACATCTGAGATTGTCACAATTTGGCTGCTATTAAATGGATATAATATCTGAAGGTTAATTGTGTTTCTAATTAAGTTCATGTTTCTGAAAAATCCTCAAAGCACATTTCCTTTAGATAATTAAAAGTCAAGGACAAATAGATCCAATGTTCATTTGCAGCAAAAAGGACAGTTTAAATAACGCAAGGTTCTATACTTAACGTTGTTTAAATCCATGCAGCATAAATTATTTTACACAACAAAAACATAATATAAAGTCCCACTGTACAGACTGTATGTGATGTGCATCAGAACTGGATCCATCTCCCAGGTACACACGCTGACTTGTATTTAATGTGATTTAATTATACGTATCAATGAAGTCACCTGTTATTTAATGTTGACCAAAATAAACCAAACGGTAAAAGTAACCAATCAGTTTGTCAGGCACATGACCAGTAGGACTGAGTTACAACATGAGCCTCAGCTGTTGTGTTATGCAGTAATAAACATTTTAGATCAAATAATATCTGAGTTTCAGCTTTAGTTTAGTGTGGATCTTTGTGCGTGGAGGAGATGTTACGATGAGAGGTGATTTCAGAGAATCTACAGTCTCTAGTTTTGTTTCATACCAATGAATGTGAAGATTATAAGGAGAATAATTACTCAGAAGCAGGAAAAGCCTGGAGTACATGAGTAAACCTTCATATGGGCAGTAATTGCTCCTAAATTAAACATATTACATCAATAAATAACAAGTGAAAAGGGGAGTCTTGTAGAGCTTTCCCAAAGCCACAAACTCACTGTACAGTCTCGTGCATTATTCATTCACCGCTGTAAGCTTCTGTAGCTACAGCCACACGAAGGAAACTGACAGAAGAAATGCTGTGGATGTGCCCCGACCCCTCTATCCTCAGTAAAGGAGTCTTGCCCATGGGCTTTTAACCATAACTGAGTGTGATGAAGAATAATTATGTTCCAAAAACATAACAATACATACACACAGAATGTTTTACATTTATTTATACATTTAATTAAATTTTGTGCACAGAAATAATTAAGCGTAAATTTGCCATATTGAACCATCCATCCATTTTCTTCCCCTTAATCCATTTCTGGGTCGGGGGAGGGGTGGCAGTCAGAGCTGCACCCAGTACACTTAGCACCAGCCCCTCACTGATCCTCCTGCAGGTGGTGAGTCCACAGGAGCCTTGATCTTTCAGTGGGGGCTTCAGGCAAAGTGGGGTTAAGTGTCTTGCCCAAGGACACAACGACAGCAGTCATCAGTGGGAGTCGTGAAGTAGGTCTTGTGGTGGGCTCGAACCCACGACTTTCAGGCCTAAAGACCAATGCTCTACCAACAGA